CTCTCGTCCCCCTGCGGGCTGACCACGGCGCTAGCGGTCAGCTGCGGCATTTTCCGCACCGAGTCCGGGGCGGCCACTGGCTCCTTCTTGTCTCCGGGTGGTCGCGGGGCCGTGGGCGTGGGCTGGCCAGTGCCGAAGCGAGTGGCCAAGCTGTCACCGAAGAAGGCGTACAACTCACGGTAGATGTCTGCCAGGGTCAAGGAAGAAGGGTCCTCTGGCCCCGCGCCTCCTGGCGGCAGCGGGAGACCAGACCCAAAGCCTGGTTCGGCGCCGCCCCCCGGAGGAGACTCTTGGAGGAGAAGGCTGTCCCAAGGCAAGTCCTCCGCACGATGGCACAGTCTCCCGCCAGAGCCACCGCGGCTGGGCTCTGCTGCCTGGGCTTTCATCTTCAGTAGTCGCTCTACGGCCACCTGTAAACAAAGAGCTAGAAGAAACCTGGACCAGCAGGCATCTCAAAGTAAACCTGCTGAGCTACTGTAAGAAAGGGAAGCTGGGCCTCGCTACTCACCAGAATCGCTCCATAGACTTTGTGCCCATCTGCTTTGACTTGGGCATTAGATACGGAATAGTCATCCAGCACCGCCTGCAGGTTTGTCCAGTATGTGGGCAGATGTGGGTACAGGACTCGTTCTACTGCCTACAAGGGAAAAAAGGAATACAGTAAGCAACCTCGTTCTATATGCCCTCTTGAGTAACCTTTCCCACAAAAGACCCACTTGGAATGTTGTCGGGCTCAGTCCTCAGTTCTCTCATTGAGATAGATATCCATCGATTCTCTGGGATCTACTATATGTACAATCTTTTGGTAGGCATGAAGGATAAAGACATACAAATACAGGCAATATAAAAAAATCCATTACTGGCCGGGCGTTGGTGGAGCACGCCTTTAATCCCAGCACTCGGGAGGCAGAGGCAGGCGGATCTCTATGAGTTCGAGGCCAGCCTGGTCTAAAAAGCAAGTGCCAGGATAGGCTCCAAAGCTACACTGAGAAACCCTGTCTCGAAAAAAAAATTATATTAGCCTTTTACAGTGGGCTAATATGACATAATTAAATCATTATGACAGAAATTGTTTGTAGACTGCTAGTGAACACAATTGGCGGGAAAGTGCTGTTCTTACTAGAGAAACAGGAGCTGCACAAAAACAATCAAGACACCTTATTGAAATGAGCTTGCTGGGAGCCCAGACTCTGGGATTATAGGCAGTGTACTACCACACATGGCTTTGACTGTACAGTTTTAAATTGAGTAGTTATCAGGTGGACTAAACAAAACCCTGCCAAAACTATTATATTTGAGATGGTCTTTGACATGTAAGGTAGACTTGGATCACTCACCCACGGAGCATGAACTTTTGAAAATGCTAACCACCTGTCAAATTCCTAGGAAAAATGTTACTGACAAAAAAGAAACGGGGATTACATTTTAAATAACTATGAAAGACACTGAAACATCTTGCTAAAATTTACAGGCATCAATATACACTCAGAAAAGTGACCTCAATCATAAAAAAATAATTAGCAAAATTTTGAGGTTTAAGAGCATTCATAAGTCTAATTCCAAGTTTGAGACCAGCCTGGTCTTCACTTTAAGTCTGGTCCACAGAGCAAGTTCTAGGACACCCTGTTAGAATAAGGGGCTGGAGAGATGGCTCAGAGGTTAAGAGCTCTGACTGCTCTTCAGGGGTCCTGAGTTCAGTTCCCAGCAACCACATGGTGGCTCACAGCCATCTACAATTCAATCTGGTGCCTTCTTCTGGCCTATAGGCAGACCACTGTATATGTGATAATTCTCTTTCAGAAGACCAGGGTTCACTTTACAGCACCCACATAGCAGCTCACAGCTGTCTGTAACTCCAGTTCCAAGGGACAATGCCTTCACACAGACACGAAAGCAAAACACCAATACACATAAAAATAAAAAATAAATTATTTTTAATAACAATAAACAATAACAAAAAAGCATCGAGGGCCCATATGTAAAGGCACTTGCTATACAAGCCTGGTGACCTGAGTTCAATCCCCTGAACCCAGGTAAAGTTAAAACACAGAACTAACTACAAAGTTGCTATCTCCTCTGACCTCCACACACCTGCTATAGCAAACACCCAAACACACACATCATGCACTTATACAATCACAAAAATAAGGATTTTTTTCAAAAGGAGCAAAGATGTAGCTGAGTTGGTTGAGTGGTTGACTAACATGCTGTAAGCCCTAGGTTTGATCCCAGCACCGCATAAACTAGGTGTGATGGTGGATGCCTATAGACCTAGCATGCCAGCACTCAGGAGGTAGGAGATTCAAGATTACCTTCAGCTACAAAGCAAGTCAAGGCCAGATTGAGGTAAATCAGCACATAAAAGTTCAGTTTAATCCAACAGAATTTTTTGTTTCTTTGGTATTTCAAGACAGGGTTTCTCTGTGTAGCCTTGGCTGTTCTGGAACTTGCTCTGTAGACCAGGCTGGCCTGGAGATCAGAGATCAGAGATCTGCCTGCCTCTGCTGGTATTAAAGGTATGTGTGCCAAAAACACCTTTTTATTTGTTTTGTTTTTAGCACTATTATTTTTAAATGCTGGCTAGAAACTAAGTATGCTTTTTCTAATCATTTGGACTTCCTTATTTTTTTAATACCCCTCCCATACCATGTGGCTGCCTACTACTCTGCCAGATGAGATCAAATAACATGGCTTTTTTTTGGCTTTTCCAGACAGGGGTTTCTCTGTGTTAAAAGCCTCAGCTATCCTGAACTCAATATGTACATTAGGTTGGCCTTGAACTCACACAGAGTGCTGAGAATAAAGGCATGTACCACCATGCCAGGCACTTTTCCCTCCTTTCTTTCATCCTCCACATCTGGGCAGTGTCTGTGATTTACAGCTTGCCTGCCCTAGGATATTTTCCTTTTAAACTCTAATAAAATTGTCCTTGATCTTAAAACACACGCATATCAACTCTATTTCTGTATACCAACAAGGAACAACCCCCATGAAAACACTACAGCCGCATCACAGCAAGAATCTGGGAAGAGGGGCTGGAGAGATGGCTCAGTGGTTAAGAGCAGTGGCTGCTCTTCCAGAAGACCCGGGTTCTCTTCCCAGCGCCCACATGGCAGCTCACACCTGTCTGTAACTCCAGTTCCAGGGGCTCTGGTATCCTTACACCAATGCACATAAAATAAAAGTTAAATAAAGTATTTTAAAAAAAAAAGCCAGGCAGTGGTGGCGCACGCCTTTAGTCCCAGCACTCGGGAGGCAGAGGCAGGCAGATCTCTGTGAGTTCAAGACCAGCCTGGTTTACAAGAGCTCCTTCCAGGACAGGCTCCAAAGCCATAGAGAAACCCTGTCTCGAAAAACCAAAAAAAAAAATCTGGGAAGAAACATAACAAAAGGGAGGTGGGAGTGGTGCAGAGCACCCACCAAGTGTGAACAAGACCCAGCTTCTGACAGCCAGCACTGCAGAAATAAAGTGTGTTGGTTCTCCTTAGGGCAATTGTGAAAGCACCCTAAAAGCCTGTGAGGAAGGATTTAAAAAAAAAGAAAAAGAAAAAGAAAATAGAAAGATGACACGGTCAAGATTACTTGATATTTCTCAACAACTTAAAAAAAGTCAATATAGCCTGGCATTGGTGGCACACGCCTTTAATCCCAGCACTCGGGAGGCAGAGGTAGGCAGATCTCTATGAGGTCAAGGCCAGCCTGGTCTACAAAGCGAGTGCCAAGATAGGCTCCAAAGCTACATAGAGAAACCCTGTCTTGAACCATCCCCCCAAAAAAGTCAATATAAATTCAAAATAAAATAAACAGAATTATTCCAAGAAAACTGGATTATAAAACACTAAATAGAAACTGAAGCCAATTATGGTGCCTTAGGCAAGAAGATCCCAAATCGAAGACCAGTATGGGCTACAAAACAAGCACTGTCTCAAGCAAAAAACCAAAAGAGAAAAGGAGATAAAGAAATTGAGGGTGTTTCCTAACATGGAATTATGGAATGGGCAGGAATTCATAAAAAACAGAACAGTGGAGCACACTGTAAAGACAGGTATCAAGCAGGGGTTCTGAAGGGATGATACATTTACATATACACAGTCAAGGTATACAATAAGCCTGGCCCAAGGCAAGGTCTCAATACATGGCATCAAACACACCAGCTTTACAATAAAATACACATGAATGTGATTTTTCCAACACACATGGCAACTCTTAAAGACCTATGAGAAAAGCCAGGGTTCTCACCTTCCAGCCTAGAGCGTGCAGCCCTACCACAGCCCCATAGTGAGAACAGAGAGGCCGAACAGGGTCTGTCAGGACCTTCTGCAGGGAGAGCAGAATCTGCTGATAGAGGCCATTTACAAGGTCCCCATGAGTCCTGTGGGAGCAAGAGTCAAGAAAGGGAATGAGATACTAAACACAAAGAGTTGAGCATTTGTAGGGCACTCTGGGACAGGCTTCCAGGTTTGAATGGCCCAGGATCCAAGGCACAAAAGACTGATACCTTGGCATTTGTGACTGTACCCCTCCCACAACCCAACTGACTCTGTAAGCTATCCCACCCTGTTCAACTCGAGCCCAGTGGGTACCAGAAGATGTGGCTGAGTAGAAGGGCAGCCCCATCCCGAAGAGTCCAGTGGTCATTCAAAGGGTTGATGGAGGCGGCCAGTGGCTCCAAGACACAGTAGAGCACACTGCCCACCAGGGATCGGACATAGGGCCCCAAGCACAGGTGTGGGTTCCGTATCAGGCTCCGCGCCACCTGCAGTAGTCGGTGCAGCTGTTCCAGGTCATGGCTTACAGATTTCACCTGTTGGTAAAAGTGGGTGACTCAGGAAGACATAGACAGGAGCCTGCCATTCTGACAGCATCTGCTATGAGCCCTAAACACTGCAGGGTCACCTTCACTAGGAAATTGGTCACTTACCCCACTGACCACATAAACAAAGTAAGGCAGAAGTGCTGCAATCTTGGAGTTTGTCTGCAGGTCCTGGAGGGCGACCTGAAAAGAAGCACTTCAATTAAAGAGAACCAACTGGAGGGTGAGTGAACACTGCACCCATGTGTTATGTTAAATGTTCATGACCTGCCGGGTGGTGTTGGCACACACCTTTAGTCCCAGCACTCGGGAGGCAGAGGCAGGTGGATCTCTGTGAGTTAAAGACCAGCCTGGTCTACAAGAGCTAAGGTAAGTTGTAAAACCAGATACCACTTATGTTTTTATTAATGTAACCATAATTTGTAAATAGGAACAAACAAGTATATGAGAAGACTATATGCTTTTATATTATATGTAGCTCCATAATAAATACATATTGGTATGGTTAAGTAGTGAGCACTTGCTGTTCTTGCAGACCAGAGTTCAGTTCCTAGCACACACCTAATATATGATACCTGTCTATAACTCCAGCTTTAATGGATACACACCCTCTTTTGACCTCCTTAAGCACTGAACAAAAATGACCCACTTACATAAATGAATGCAGGCAAAATACCAGACACATAAGAAATAAATAATTCAGTCGGGCAGTGGTGGCATATGTCTTTAGTCCATGTACTCAGATGGCAAAGGCAGGAAAATCTCTGTGAGTTTGAGGCCAGCCTGGTCTACAGAGGGAGTCCAGAACAGCCAAGGATACATAGAGAAACCCTGTCTTGAAAACCCCAAAATAAATAAAGTGAAATAAAATAAATTCTTTAAAATATTATAAAGTGGCGAAGTGGTGGTACATGCTTTTAATCCTAGCACTAGAGGCAGAGGCAGGCAAATCTGATTTCTAGGCCAGCCTGGTCTCCAGAGTGAGTTCCAGGACAACCAAGGCCACACAAACCCTGTGTAAAAACAGACAAACAAAAAGCAAATAGCTGGGCATGGCAGTGTACACCTTTAATCCTAGAGCTCTGGGGAAGTAAGCAGGCAGATCTCTTGAGTTCATGGTCAGCTGAGTCTACATAGAGTGTTCCAGGCCAACCAGGGCTGCATAGGGAGACCCTGTCTCCAAAAACATAAACCAATCAAAGAAATCCACCTCATCCATAAACCACTATGATCTAAACCCTCCAAACCCTCTAAAGATCTCAAAGTGAAGAAGAGCTTAGCTCCCAGGTGCACAGCTGCCACCCATAGGGGACTAAGAAACACAGCAAGGGCTAAGTTTTTATTTCCTTTGTTCTCTACTGAGACAGGGTCTTATAAAGTAGCCCACAGCTCAGCCTTAAACTTTCAATCTTTCTACCAGTGCTGAGATTACAGAACCACGCCACCATGCCTGCTTGGTGTGTGTTTAATCTGTCTTACAGTGTTAGAACTTCCTATCCAGGCCTCTGCACATGCTGGTCAATGCATGGCTAGCTCAGCAGTCAAGTTCTGAGGACAGAAATGGTGCTGGCAATGGTCCTCGTTTTTTAAGTGATATAGCAGTCAGATATGAGAACATGGGGGAATCTTAACTGTCACACAGAAAAACACAAGCACAGCCCGGTACTCGGGAGGCAGAGGCAGACGGATCTCTGAGGTCAAGACCAGCCTGGTCTACAAGAGCTAGTTCCAGGACAGCCTCCAAAGCCATAAAGAAACCCTGTCTCGAAAAACCAACCAAAACAAAACAAAACAAAACAACAACAAAAAACCCCAAGCGTGACTTTGAGGAAAGATCTCTGGTTGTGTCCAGAGGCTAAAGCAATAGCAGCAGGAACCAGCCCAGGAACAACCTTTGCAGAGCAGGCCTGGCTGGAGACCTGACTTGTACCTCTACTTCTTCTTCTCCTTTCCTTACCCAGTCCAAATAAACAAAGGCTTTGATGTTCATGGTGGTGTACATCTTTAGTTCAGCATTCACGAAGTAGAGGCCAGCCTGGTCTACAAAGAGAGTTCCAGGACAGCCAAGGCTATTATTACACAGAGAAACCCTGTCTCAAAATACCACACACACAAAATAAAATAAAATAAGTGCCTCATTTGGCTCCAGATCAGTAGATACCTCAAAAAATGGGAATCTAGCTGGGTGGTGGTAGTGCATATCTTTAATCCCAGCACTCGGGAGGCAGAGGCAGTTGGATCTCTGTTGTGAGTTCGAGGTCAGCCTGGTTACAGAGCAAGTTCCAGGACAGGCTCCAAAGCTACAGAGAAACCCTGTCTTGAAAAACCACAATAGAGAGACAGACAGACAATAAAATAAAAGGGAATCTGGGATGAAGGTGTAGGAACAGTTACTAACAGCACCTGCTGTGCTGCCACTGCCTAGGGAACAAGAGAGTCTACTAGAGCGTTAAGGGGTCAGGGCTGGCATAGTAGGACCACACACCACTAGAGAATGGGTTCCACCATAGCAACTAGTTCATCTATAGAGGACAGGAAGTAGACACCTGAAAATATTTCATGGGGATTTAAGACTTTGACTTTATGCCTACTCGGGTCCCCTGTTTCACCTTCATCAGCTGTGGATCATCCCCCAGTACAGCCCGTGTCACTTGCTGGTAGTATTTGAGAAGGTCATCTGTCAGTGAAGACACTGCACTGGGCACTGCGAGAAGACGGGAAGGAAGTGGTCACAGATGGAGAGATAGCCTTCTCAAGGCTTCCTCAGCCTGCCACCCTACACCTACCACACCCCCACCCACAGAACCCAGTCAAGACAACATGCAGGCACAGGCTCCAGCTGCACTCTCATCAGACAGGTTCCATGTGTCTTGGCTCTATTTACTCCCATCCATGTTCTGCCATGCAGGTTCCTGATGTTCTCAAGCTCCCATTGTACAAGACAGGCTCTCTGAAGCTCTGCTCAGCATACCCTGGAAGTAATATACTTCTTGGGGACCTCAGAGTATAACACAGACTTCTGTCTTGGCCAACATACATTGTGAATGGTAACATAATGGGTCTGGGTTTCCGCCTCTGACCTTAACCCTTCTGGACAAAGGCAACTGTAAATGTTTGGCAGATGCAGACCAAAGGACACAGATGCCCTCACTCCTTAGAGCTCTTCCAAACAGCCCATTCTCCACACTGCCATTTACCTGATCCTTGAGGTGCCAGGTTTCCTTTGCCATCCAGATAGGAGACATGAACTAAAATCAAGGGAAAGATACAGATGTCAGTTGGAATTTTGCCCCTCCAAATTCTGCCCTTGCTAAAAGTTGGCCCATCAGCACCACTCAGACTATCCACTTCCTGCCCCAACCCCAAGAAGGACCCTAGCAGCCACCTCTGACAGCCGTCTCTGCACAGCCCTTGGGGATGTTGGTGGCCAGTGCCAGCTCCACCAGGTTCACTTCTCGGTCCTCTGGAAAGTAGAGCTCACCCTCCCTTGCTGGACGCAAGGGCAGTGCCTCCTGGGACCCATAGCCACACACAGCCTGAGGAGAAAGAGGATTAGCAAGCCGGGTGAATTGAGTGAAGGAACAAGAGCTAGGATGAGGCTCTCCTGATTGAGACAGGGAGCCTGTGCTGGAGGAGAGTTCATGGAGTTCAGAGCTGCCGATGGCTCAATGGATCAAGAGCTGATGGCATCTACCCTCACATAACTGTAAGGGTTCTATGACCCACTCCAAACAACTCTAGAGAACTGACTACCTTCCTCAACTCTCTGACCCAGAGCTATACTAAGATGTCATGAGCCGTTGCATACCATGACGCAATTACAGCAGATGACAGCTGATATTTATAAGGCAGACCCAGCAGGTAACCAACTAATTGCATGGAGGAAAATCACAGGCAAGGCGTATGAAAACATTGCCTATAAATGCTGACTGCTCCTATCTGTAAATTCACACATGCAAAGATAGCTATGGTATCTCCCCAAGACTTACACTGTAATATGTAATCTCATGTGATATGTATATGTAATCTCATGATTACATCTTTTTTTTTTTTTTAAGATTTATTATGTATACAGTCTTCTGTCTGCACGTCAGCCAGAAGAGGGCACCAGATCTCATTATAGATGGTTGTGAGTGACCATGTGGATGCTGGGAATTTAATTCAGGTCCTCTGGGAGAACATCCAGTTCTTTTAACCTCTGAGCCATTTCTCCAGCACTACATCTCAATCTTATGGGCACATATATCTGTGGATGGTCAGGAAGATGATTTCTCATCAAGCTGTATAATTTTGATATACAGAAAATATACTAGAATATGCTTCATAACCAAATCTATTATTCCATGAGGACTGCTAGACACATAGGCCCTGTTTTTTATCACTAGCTCAGACTTGCATAAAGAAAACAACAATTTTGGGTTGGAGATGGCTCAGTGGTTAAGAATACTACAGAATTCCTCTGTAGCTTTGGGGGCTGTCTTGGAACTCGCTCAGTAGACCAGACTGGCCTCAAACTCACAGAGATCTGTCTGTCTCTACTTCCTGATTGCTGGCTAGAGGGGCACCAGATCTCATAATGGATGGGTGTGAGCCACCATATGGTTGGTAGGAATTGAACTCAGGACCTTTGGAACAGCAGGCAGTGCTCTTAACTGCTGCGCCATCTCTTCAGCCCAGTCCTTTCCATTCTTTCAGAACTCATATTCCTTTGGTCTGGACCCAACACCTGACCTGCTACACTTTGTGTTTGTCTTCACGTCTCACCATACTGCCAGCCTTCTTCTCAACAGGTGAGGTGGCCTCATGCCACCTTGAGCCGCCAGTGTTTATACTCCACTTACCTCCACACTGCTCCACCTGAGAGCCCTGTTGAAGTCCTCTACTGTTAGCTTCCTCCGTTTGGTATGTTTCATGAACTGAGAGCTATTCTGGGAGGGGAGGAACAGAAGGCAGAGTCAGGAAGCGGGGAGTATGTGTGAGAACGCCCAAAGGAAATGGGTTAGACTGAACAGAGAAAGGGGACCCTACAGCAGCAATCAGAAAACCTGCATTTCCAGCTCAGGCTTTGCAGAACTCAGGCATGCTACATCGCAAGTGTGTGCCTCAGTGTGGACTGTACTAAGTGTCACTATCCATCCATTCTGCCTAGGCAGCAGGGCATTGTAAGGAAGTGCCATAAGAAAGTGCTCAGCAGCCAGGCAGTGGTGGTGCACACCTTTAATCCCAGCACTTAGGAGGCAGAGGCAGGCGGATCTCTGTGAGTATGAGGCCAGAGAGGGAATTCCAGACAGCCTCCAAGCCTACAGGGAAACCCGTCTGGGAGAGGAGGAGGAGGGGGAAATGCTCAGCTGGGGCTGGAGAAATGAATGGCTCAGCAGCTAAAAGCACTGGCTGTTCTTCCAGAGGACCGGGATTCAATTCCTAGCACCCACATGGCAGTTCACAACTCTCTGTAACTCCAATTCCAGGGGATTTGACACCTTACAGACACACAAGAATGCAAAACCTCAATGTACATTAAATAGATTATTAATAAATAAAGTCTGACTGTCTCCTAACCTCAAAGCACAAGGTAACTAACATATGTGTTTTGAACAAGTCAGTGTGGGAGGAGGTGACAGGGAAGAACCACAGGAGAAGGGGTAAGGAGAGCAGAGAGCAGCACACCTGTGTGGCCTCTCTGAGACGGTAGCACACATCTTCAGCGAGCAGAGCTGCCACCTCATCACTCAGCTCCAGCCCTGTGCTCTCTGCCATGAGCCGAACTGACTCCCGAGGGATCTCCACAAACCTCCGCTCTTCTCTCTCTGACATGGCCCCAGTGGAGCTGGGAGTGAAAACAAAAGGAAGGGGTGAAATGCTGCCAGCATCGCTAAGATTCCCTAAAGCACAGATCAAGTAAGACCCTTTCAATCGAGCCTGTTCCTCTTGCTCTACAATTTACAAACAGGGAGCTTAGGGGCTCAGCGAAGTCCGGGTCCAAGATGACCCACAGGCATGCTCCCAGGGCTCCATCAAAGACTCATCATTCTTCATCTCTAAAACCAATGGGGCAACCCACATAGCCCCATCGCCCTCCTCCCAGTGGTCCCCCATTGCTTTTAGAAAAATGGAGTAAAACCGGCCCACGCTAGAAAGGCTATGCATGCGCCGTCTATCTGCAAAACTCACTGCTTCTTCCCTTGTGTTCTGTGTGTCTACATGTGGCTACCTTTCAATTCCTTATTTCAAGGCCTCAATCCATTCTGCTGCTTCTGTCTGACACTCTCCTTCTTTGTTGTTCTCCCCAAATCTCGATCAATCACTTACCCCCTTCAGATCATAGTTCAGATGTCACTTGCTAAGGAAGCTCTTCCCAGATTGTGTAAATGTCCCCATCATTTGTTTTTAAAGCAACTCTGAGGCAGGAGCATGGATAGTTCAAAGCCCACTTGAACTATGAAGTGAGTTCAAGGTTACCCTAACAACTCAGACTATCTCAAAATAAAATGTAAAAAGAAGACTGGAGCTGAAGTGATGGTGCACACCCTTAATCCCAGCATTCAGAAAGCAAGGCAGATACATCTCTGAGTTCGAGACCAGCCTGGTCTACAAGAGCTAGTTCCAGGACAGCCTCCAAAGCCACAGAGAAACCCTGTCTCGACAAACCAAAAAAAAAAAAAAAAGAAAGAAAGAAAGAAAAGAAAAACTAAAACACACACACAAAAAGAAAAGAAAAGAAGTAAAGAAGCCAGGCATTGGTGGCTCACGCCTTTAATCCCAGCACTCAGGAGGCAGAGGTAGGCGGATCTCTGAGTTCCAGGCCAGCCTGGTCTACAGAGCGAGTTCTAAGACAACCTCCAAAGCAATACAGAGAAACCCTGTCTCAAAAAAAAAAAAAAGAAAGAAAAAAAAATTAAAGAAAGAAGACTGAAGATACAACTCAGTTGTAGAAATATTTCCGAGCATGTGTGAGCCCTAGGTTCAAACAGTCTGTAACTACACAGCTGCATAGCTTTTGTGTATGAGTTTACAGAAGACAACCTTGGGTAACATACCCCCTGAGGAGCTGTCCACTTTATTTTTTCAGACAGGGTCTCGCACTGGAACCTGAGGTCCACAGATTAGCTTAGGCTGGCTGGTCAGCAAGCTCCAGGAACCCACCACCTATCTTGGCATGCTGGGGCGGGCTGCAAGCTCACTACACACAGCTTTTCGCCATCATTCCCACTCTTTTTAAAGCGGCACTGGGGACCAGCGTGTGGTCCCTAGTAGACTGTAAGCTGCACACCAGCAAAGATCATGGTCTGTGTGCTCACCTTTGCATCCCAAGCGACCAGCAATGTCAGCACATATTATGCCTTCATTAACACCTGCTGAAAAAAGAAAGAGCAGGTATTCATTTGTTTTGGAGACAAAGTCTCTCTATTTAGCCCTGGAACTCTCTCTGTAGATCAGGCTAGCCTCAAACTTCCTGCCTCTGCCTCCCCAATGCTGGGATTAAACATGTGCACCACTACTCCTGGCCTAGAATAACTATTTTTCTTTTTTTTTTCTTTAACTTATTTTTATGTGCACTGGTGTTTTGCCTGTGTTATGTCTGTGTGAGGTGACAGATCCCCTATAACTGGAGTTATAGACAGTTGTGAGCTGCCATGTGGGTGCTGGGAATCGAACCTGGGTCATCTGCAAGAGCAGCCAGTGCTCTTAACTGCTGAGCCATCTCTTCAGCCCAGCTATTTCTCTGCCGAATTTTAAAAAATATGTCTTATTTATTTTGTTTGGTTTTTTAAAGATTTATTATTTTATGAATGAGTGCTCTGTCTGCATGTACACCTTTATGCCAGAAGAGCGCATCAGAATCCCACTACAGATGGTTGTGAGCCACTACGTGGTTGCTGGGAATTGAACTCAGAATCTCTGGAAGAGCAGCAGTGCTCGTAACCTCTGAGTCATCTCTCCAGCCCCCAGCTCTAAGCACATAAATGTTTGTGGCTTCCAAGTAGCAACACTCTATGACCTCCTCCTATCCTCGCTAACAAGATAGATAGTGTACATTTTTGTCTAGTTTACAAAGCCACGAGAGATAGCTCAGAAAGGTTACCTAGATTGTCCAAGACAAGCCAGCAAGCATTGAGTAATTAGATGTCAGGGACTCAAACCCTTGTTTTAAATTAACTCAGATGCTGGGCAGTGGCGGCGCACGCCTTTGATTCCAGCACTCGGGAGGCATAGGCGGGGGGGATCTGTGAGTTCGAGACCAGACTGGTCTCAAGAGTGAGCTCCAGGACAGCCTCCAAAGCCACAGAGAAAACCTGTCTCGAAAAACCAAAATATACTCAGGATGCTATATATATACCAGGAGCAGGCTTATGTTTGAACTAGGCCTGGCTTTGTAACCCAAGTCCCACCTTTAGATTCACCACTGGATGGGATGAGTACCCTTCAGTTTTCCCATCTGTAAAATGGGAGCACTCAGTCGTGAGCATTTGAAAAGCCAGTAGGGAGTTGCTCTATTATGTTCCCCTATTGAGACCTCAAAGTCCTGACTGTGACCAAGGTCTTGCACAGCCTCAGTTCCCAGTGCTGACCAGGAAGCGTGAGAACCGGCCTCCTCGGGCCTGTGGGTTGCGCATCCTCCGACCCACCTTCATCCCAGATCCAGAGGGCGTGGGGTGGAGTGGGGAGGTCAAGGGTTACGGAACTTGTGTCACGTGCTCGGTGAGGCGGGCGGGCGGGCCCCCGCGGGCCCCGAGGCTGGTGAGCAGCCCAGCACGGACGCGAAGAAGCCTGCTCACCTGCGGACTCC